GCGTTTTAGGGGCGCGCTTCGGCCAGTGGAAGGGGAAGAACTAACGGTGGTCTCCTAAAAAAAATCGGTCTTAAAGACCTAACTGCTCTAAATACCATGTTAGAATAGTAGGACAGGAATGAGTGACTAAGGAATGGAAGGGGTATATGATGGGTATCGAGAGAAATGTTGTACCCCTAAGGGGCAACTCGCTACAGGCTAAACTAACATATGCAATATAAAACTTTGATATCCCCTTGCTTGCTATCGGTTTCCCCGTGCTTACCATTGGTTTCCCCTTGCTTACCATTGGTTTTCCCCTGCTTCCCTTTGGTTTCCCCCTACCTGCGCTCAGTTTCCCCCTGCTTGCCATCAGTTTCCACCTGCTTGCTGTCGCTGTCCCCCTGCTTCTTCTCGGATTACCCCGCATTGTCCGCAGTTTCAGCCCTACTCCTCAACCCCCCCTGTTTCCTGCCTCCTGCCTGCCATCTTCTCCCCCCATTTTCCTAACAATCGCTTTCCCTATTTTTTTTCGCACTGTAGCAAGGCAGAGACGGGTTGCTCCCTTTTCCCCTTTCTTTACCTCCCTTACATCCCTGCATTCACTCCCTTCCCACCCCCCTGCTTGCCGTCCCTTCCCCTCCTGCCTACCCCCGTTTCCGCTTTCCCTGCCTGGTGTTTCCTGCCTTTCCTCTCCATATTGAGTGTTGCTAATCGAGCATGGAGCAACAATAACGTAGGCGATTTGAGTTTAGGCTTGTGTGTGCTGTATTTTTAGTCGACTCAAAACACCATCTGAGTTTAGGTTCATGTGTGCTTGCACTGTGTTTTGCCATCCAATAGCATGTTACCTTCCACATCAATATTCCAATAAGTGTTCAATGTATCATGTCTGTCGTTTGCAATGTCTTTGATTTTATCGAAGCCCTTTTTTTGAATAGAAAGCGTTTCACTATATCAGGGATACAGCAAATACAGCCACAGTCCTAACTGGAGCGTGAGGGGGGACAGATGCACACGGTGTCACGAATCACCCCCAGAAAAAACCTACGGTGGCTTGAACCTAGCTCTCCTATCCGTCCAGATGGACAAGAAATCTTCCCGCCACGTAAGCTTGTTACCCAGCCTCGTGCTGACGTTCTCCAGTGCCATGATCTCGTCGCTCGCTAGGTGCCTCTTGGCCACGTGTCTCTTCTTCGCCCAGGCCTTCCTTCGCTTGATGCCCTCATAGGTTCGCACATGCAGGCAGAAAGCGGTCACAATCCTCCGCATCACTTTCCCGCACTGAAATTTCTTCCCCCTGAAGACCGCGTGACAGCGCGCCACCCAAATCTGATGTAATGCAATCGCAGATATTGTAAATTCTGGAAAACCGGATGACGTGCCTCCCCGCTGGAACATCAGGTCCCCTAACGTCTTCGCCCTTCTTGTCGGATTAAGCCAGTGGATGGCCCCGATCAGCGCATGCAGCACCGGCTGGATAGCACGACAGGAGAACAGCGCGTGATCCACCGTTTCCGCCTCCCCACAATGCGGGCATTTTACTCGGTCCCCCAGGAACAGCGGACGATCCCCCACCTGCAGATTAGAGCAGTGGGCGCGCAGTAGGACATCACGAGCCTTTGCATGGACCACATGCGAATCCCTGCGCGCAATCACCCTTTGCCAGTTGATTCGCTTCCCCCAACATCTCTCCCACTTCTTTTGCCGAGCGAGTTGCCCCGAATGGTCCTCGTCCTCCTCTAGCTCCGTTCTCAGCTGCTTCAGGGAGGCAGCAATGTCACCCACGCACAGGTCCGTCCCCAGCAATCTGACGCGGGGATCACCCAGCTCCCCAACCACTTTCTCGCCCGCCATTGCTAGCGGCGTGACCTCCGACACCGTTAGCAGGCAGGTGCCTACTCCCTCGGGCACATACCAGGACTCCCCATCGTCCCTTCGCCGCATCTTTGCGCACCACAGCAGACTGCCGCGCACCTCAGCTATCCACCACAGTTGTTCCCTGCGACCTGGGGTGCGAACCACCCTGGTCGCTTCCTGAATCTCCACTGCCTCGAGCGTTTTTAGAACCCGGGTCTTCCACTCAGCCGGGACTGCCTCAAAAACCACCCCCGCTAGCGCCGTCGCCTGCTTTCTGCCCAGCAAACGCGCTAGCTGCTCCGGCGACTTGGGACTCCGGGTACCATCCGCCTACTTCATCACCAGGTCCCCCACCGTGACGTCACGTAGGCACTCGTCCTCTTTCCTTCTCCCAAAGGGACAGCTCTCACCCAGAAGCACATGTCGATTGAAAACCACCCGCTCCTTCTCCACGTCCCACCTGTTATTGCATGGCAGGTCGCGAGCTATGGGAGACGCCATCACCACTGCCGCGATCGCCTTCCATCGCTCACTTCCCCCGCCCCACTTCTTGAGCAGGGCCTCGTGCGCATAGAAGGACGCGTAGCCGAGAGGGAAGCGTGCCACCTTCTCCGCCAGCGTTCTCCTCTAAAGGGACCCATCCACCAAGAGCTCCCCCGCCGACTGGAGGGCTTCTGCATCAAGCCGGTTCCGGAGGTTGATCACCCCCAGCCCGCCATCACCCCTCCTCATCTGCATTAACTCCGCGCTCCAGTGGATGAATCCCGGCCCCGCGCTCGCCCTGCCTCCTGCAACAAAAGCATGACACAGCCGCCGGAGCTCCTCCCAGATCGTGTCCGGTGGCGGGTACACCTGCGCTTGGAAAAGCGCGATGGGCATGACATACGAGTTGACCACCACCACACGCGCCGTCACGGTAAGATACTTCTCCTCCCATTTTGAAGCTCCGTCTCCATCCTGCGCAGTGCCTTCCTCCACGAAGGCCTCGCATCTCCTCCTAACGTGATCCATACCCCCAACATGCGTTCAGGTTCATCCCGCGTTGCCCACTTGAAGGAGGAGACCACCGGCGGCGGCTCATCACGCTGGCTTCCCAACGGCATCACCACAGTTTTGTCACAGTTCGCCGCCAGACCAGACATCCTCTCAAAATCCCGGAGCAGCACCTCCGCCATGTCAAGCTGCGCCCGTCCCTCTAGCAGGAAGGTGGTGTCGTCCGCATAGCCCAAGTAAGTCAGTATTCCAGCTCCAGTAATGTCAACACCTAACTGTCGTCTTTGCACTTCTTGGCAGAGGGGCTCCACCGCACAGAGGAAGAGGTACGGCGCGAGAGGGCACCCCTGTCGCACCCGCGTCTGCACCGGCACTTCATCCCCAAGCCAGCCATCGTTGCAGATGCGCGTCGCCGTCCCGTGATGCAGTCCTTCGACCCATTTCACATACGCCTCCGGGAACCCCATTTTCCGCAGGACCCCAAAGAAGTACTCTCTGGATGCCGAGTCAAACGCCTTTCGGAAGTCCACGAGAAGGAGAAGCCAATCCTCTTGCCCGGAGTTCGCTGCGTCAATTGCATCCGCCGCAATCGTCACCGCATCGGATAGCTCCGCCCAGGTAAGAATCCAAAGTGGCCCGTAGATACCACCTTTTCCAGTACATGCTTTACCCTATTCGCCAGAATTTTTGCCACGATCTTGTACGCCGTGCTCAGTAGAGTGATCGGACGATAATTCTGCAAGTCCTCCTTGTCCCCCTTTTTATGCAGAAGCACCGTCACCGCAGTTGAAAACTCCGCGGGTAGCGACGCCGTCCGCTCAAACTCCTTCAAGAAACGCATCACCTGCCCGCCCAGGAGGTCCCACTCCCACAACTCCTTCGGAAGTCCATCCCTTCCCGGTGTCTTGCCAGATGCCATCTCCGCCAGCGCCCGCTTAACTTCCGCCTCATCCCACGGTGCGCTCTGTGCCGCCGCATCCTCGGGGGAGAAGCATCTGTCCATCCTGAAGTCCGACGACAGGCCACCTGGGTCCGCCTTGGCTGCGAAGAGATCCGCGTAAAACGCAGACGCTGCCTTGAAGGCCTCCTTAGCCCCCGCGTACTGCTTCCCTTCGAAGTTCACCACCGCCAGCCTTGTTTTCGCCTTCCTCGCCTTAATTTTGCCCGACAGGAAACCGGTAGGAGCTTCTCCATTCATTTCTACCTTGATCCCTGCCTGTCATTTTCTCCTCTAGACCCTACTCCTGAAGCCTTATCTAGCGAGGGATCCTCTACGATGTTCGGGTCCCCCGCAAGCACCAGATGGCTCCCGCTGGGGATCGCTGCGACAAACGGCTGGAGAACATCCCTGAAAAACGGCCCCCTCGCCGTCGGGTTCGAAGGGAAGTAAGCTGCCACAACCACTACTTCTACGCCTCTCCAAGTCAGCGTCGCCCGTACCAGGCGGCCGGAACTGTCCTTGACTGGGTCGGTGAGAACTACTTCATGATTAAGAGAGATGATCGCTACCCCCCCCGCTCTAGCAGCAGGTGAGACAGCTACCACCGAGTCCGCTTGTATATGGGTCCAGAAGTTGTGGTCAGCCGGTAATCTAGTGTCGGTAAGGATGATGATTTGTGCTGCTTGCTTTAAGCATTGATGAGTGTCTTGCTGCTTCTGAAAACAACCATTTATCGAAGCCCTTGTATCGAGGCGCATAATTTCCATAACTGTTGCCTGTTGGGCACAAGAAGGGTTTTCTCGAGACATGTCAGATCGCATGCCCCTGACCACGTTGACTTTCAGTCGCTTGTTACGACGAAGCAAAATCTTCACAGCCAAGAATTGGACACAGTCGATTTTGTTTCATATGCTGCCCGAGCGGGCCACGCTGGTTGGCGGGAAAGGGGCCGTTCACGTCCATTCCGCCTGCTTCTCACACTCAAGAGGGAATGCGCTTTTTCTTTGGAGCCGAGACTCGCGCGCGCGATGTGTTTGCTGACCAGCGAAGTTGTGTCGGAACACAGTGACGGCGGCATCCCTCAACGTTTCCCCTCACCCCGAGGGGTGATGGGCTTGGGCATTGTGCCTGCGCGGGTTTTTGTGGCGGCCATCCTCGAAACAGTTCTGACATTCGATTCGATGTTCCGCGTTCGGGGCCGCGCGCGAACATCACCGTCACCACCTGAATGGGATTGGGTCGGACGTTTCGATTGTTTTCACAGCCACATTTTGCGCTGGCATATCAAACCCGGCCTCGAATCGCACATTCGCGGCGCGCCTTTAGGACGTGCGCCAAATTAGGCGGGAAGCTCACGTCCCAATCAATCCCGACATTGGTGATTTGGACTCGAGAGGTCGAAACTGAGGCATAGTTACCTGCCAGCTTCTAATTCTTGAGGGGATTGAGTTGAGTTATAGACCACTAACTAAAGCTTCCTGCGATTTGTGGACAGCATTATACCCAGGTTCATAGCAACTTCTTGCGAGTCCGACATCTTACGTTCCCGTCCGCCATACGTCTTGATATTCCTCGCTTTCTCTTCTCGTCCAACATACGTATTTATAGAGAGCTATTGCATTCGAACTTAGAGCAACCAAAGATCTGAGTTCAATTAGCACATCTCACAGCGCGACAACCGTAGTATCGACTTCTGGAGCAGACTCAGGTTCCGCATCAGCCTACTAGGCACCTCTCGATCGATCCGTCTTGCATTAACCGGGGGACTTCGTTCCCGTTCCACTCTTCACCAGCGCTTCGCACAGGGTACACCTCTAAACCACGTCCTTTTCCCCCTCACAACTTCAGTAACTCTTACCAAGCCATGCCTAGCCAGATGGATGAGTCTGTCTCTATGGATCGCAGCCCCCGCTCTTGAAAGCTTGGTCCCCGTGGGGACATCGCGTCCTCGTCGCGTCCTCGTCGCGTCCTCGTCACGTTCTGGGCGCGTCACCGTCTCATCCTCATCGTATCCTTGACGCGTCGTTCTCCCATCCTCGTCGCGTCACCGTCTCATCCTCATCTTATCCTCGACGCGTCGTTCTCCCATCCTCGTCGCGTCACCGTCTTATCCTCGTCGCGTCCTCGACGCCTCGTTGTCCCATCCTTGTCTCGTCTCGCCCTCCTCGCGTCTCGTCGAGACTTCGTCTGCTGCATGAATCCCACCCCCTAGCCTGGGCTCAGAGTTACAGAGGTTCCGCTAGCCTAGGCTCAGAGACAATAAGGCTCGGCTAGCCAAAGCTCAGAGACACCGAGGCTCGGCTAGCCTAGGCTCAGAGTCACAGAGGCTCGGCTAGCCGAGGCTCAGAGTCACAGAAATTCGGCAAGCTGAGGCTTGGAGCCACCGAGGTTCCGCTAGGCGAGGCTCAGGTCAGAGGCTTGGCTAACCGAAGCTCAGAACCGTGGCTCAGAATTGCCCCTCACCCCGCATCCCTGCACCCCCTCCCATCCCCTTCAGATCCTCACGCGCGAAATCGGTGGCAGCAAGAACGTATTCACAGCGAAGCTTCCAAACCGCACGCTCGCTAGAATCGCCATGAAGCTTCCTCGCCCCGCTCTTCTCCTGCTCCTTCTCCTCGTCTCCGTCGCACTACTTCCGCTCTTCGCCTCGTCGCGCACGCTTCCGCCAAGGCAGCAGCCCACAGGGGGGGAGATTCCGCCGGCCACAGGGAAAGCCACCACCGCTCCCCCCCGCCACCCGCGCGGGGGGAACGGGACGGTAGCGGCGGGGAACCGAACGAAGGGTGGGCATCCGAACAAGGGGCACCATCGCGGGAACGGCACAGCGGCAGGGGGACCTTCCCCAAAGTCGCCAGCGAACGGAAACGTAAAGAATGGAAATGCGCCAAATGGTCAGAAGAATGGTGGCACGCAGCCGAACAAGAATGGCGGCGGGAGCGGCGGCGCACAGACGAACAAGAACGGTAGCGCGCAGCCGAACAAGAACGGCGGCAGCGGCGGCGGCGGCGGCGCCAATAAGCCGCGTCGACCGAAGCAAATCGCCGAGGAGGACTGTAGCAGGTGGGTTGTTTTTGTTTTTGTTTTTTTGTTTTTTTTTTGCCAAAATGCTTACTAAGCGGCCCCGTCTATTTATTTGATCGTAAAAGTAGTTGCATCATGGCATATATCGTATTAAAGCCTATGTTCTCAAACGTACCTTCCCATCCCTGTGACTGTCAAACCCCAAGCCTCCGACCATTCCCACTATCCCCTCCTCTCCTCTCCTCTCCCCTCCTCTCCCCTGCACTTCCCCCTCTCCCCTCCTCTTGTCAACTCTCCCTCCTGTCATCTCTACCTTTCTCCCTTCATCTCTCCCTCTCTCCCGTCATCTCTCCCTCTCTCCCGTCACCCCTCTCCATCTCCGCTCATTCTCTTCCCTTCCAACTCATTCCCACTTTTTCCCCTTCTCTGAACTGCCTTCCCATCTCGCACCGCTCCCTACTCAAACCATATTTCCACCATCTTCCCGTTTCTTACCCATAACAGCAAAACATCGTGGCCAGAGGTGGTTGGCATGACGGGCGAAAAGGCTCGCAATTACATTCTGACGTCTATGCCTGAGTGTAACTGGGACGTGCGAATTATCCCGAATAGGGGATTCGCGACAATGGATTATCGCACAAACCGCGTTCGTGTTTTTGTCGACAAGGAGAATATCGTTCGTGTCCCTCCTAGAATTGGCTAAATTCGATCGGGTATGTATAGGGTAGACGTAATCTAACGGTCTCTCTTCAGTGCTGCAAGCACGCATACAGCTAGCGCATTAGGCTTCAAGGATCTGTCTGGATGGGGGGCAGATATCACACTGTGTAGGCAAGCTCCAATAGCACACTGCCACGTGTTCTGACTCAGTGGTATAGTGACCATTTGTATAGAGACGCCTATGTATCTTTCTTGACCAGGGTCCAACATAGTGACCTTATCAGGGGTACATTGTTGTACTGGCCTAATGTTTTAAGCTTCAGTATATTATTACCTTGACGCAAATAGTGTTCTGAATCTCCTGGTCCTGATTGGACAGGGTGTCCTGGCAATCAGCCTTGTGAGAACTAGAACCTCAACTCAGAACTCTCATGTGGGTGTCAGAGTGAGGCCAGAGACTCAGCCCTTTCTACAAACCAAGCCCCTACCCCACTTCCTCTACTTACACCAGCCCATTTCCCAACCTTCCCTCCTTCCTATTCGTTCCTCTTGCCATCACTTCTTCTCTCCAAGGTCCTGCTAGTCCACTCTCCAGCCTCTCTCCCTCACATGTTCGATGGTTTTTTTAAAGTGTTCGTAATCACATGCCATTTATTACAGGACTACAGTATTTAAAGCTCGCGTCTCAAAATTTCTACCGTTTAACACTTGGTTGGGTTTGCCCCTACTTGATTGGGTACTTGGTTGACGAAATAAGTGACGAGCGGGTGAAAAAAAAACAGCGAACTCCCAAACAGGTTTGGCCAAAACAAACCAGGGTGTGCAGGTTTGGGTGGAAGACGAGCCTTGGGGGACAGGTTTGGCCCCGCTTTATGTCGGAGTTGAGAGTTCAGTCTCAAATTTCCGAGATTGTAAATGCTTGGTGTTCGCGGGGAAGTTTGCGACGCGATTTCCCAACCAACCTTACCAACCACCCCTTGCCTTGGTGTGCTTTGCGACAAACTCAGCTGTTACCGGATTCCAACCGTTTAAAGCCCGTATGCAAAATAGTGACCCCCCCCTTCTAGTTGGGTCCACTTGATATACGGATTCAGAGGTTTTGTTTGTAGGGTGTAATGTGTTGCACCTTTTCTTGTTTTCCTGATACTGAACCATCTTTCCAATTCTGATCGAGGAAACTGGTCGCAGGGCTGGGCAAATGTGTCGCAAGGGGTGCCAATTGCACATTCGTGCCACATTCACATTCTCATTTCGATGTCGAGGAAATGATCAAACGCAGAGCCAAACACTTGCATTGGCAACGCCCGAGCCTGCTGTAAAAAGCGAGAGCTGTAGGGGAGAGAATAAGGGGGCAAAAGTTACTGGTTGGGTGATGGGAGGGGCATTGGGGAGGGGAGGGCACGAGGGCGACGGTACGGGACGGGAGGTGCGAGCGCGAAGGCGACGGGAGACGAGAGAACGTGAGCACGAGGGAGATGGGAGGGGAGAATCTGGGTGCGAAGGCGATGCGAAGACGGGCAACGTGAGCTCGATGGCGGGGGAAGGGGAGAACGTGAGCGCGACGCCGATGGGAGGGGATTACGTGAGCGGAAAGGGAGAGAGGAAAGGCGACGGGAGGACGATTCGGAGTGATCGCGAGAGCGACGAGGTGGGTGATGGGAAGGGAGTTAGGAGGGCTGATGGGAGGGCGATGGGAGGCAAGCGCAAGGGCGACGAGGTGGGTGATAGGAATGGAGAGGAAGAAAGGCGATGTGAGGACGTTTCGGGGAGAGCGCGAAGGCGACGGGACAGGTGATGGGAGGGGAGGGAAGAAGGGCGTGTTGAGGGCGTTTTAAAGCAAGAGCGACGAAGCGGGTGATGGGAGGGGGAAGAAGAAAGGCGACGGGGGGGGGCATTTCGGGACGAGAGCGCGGAAGGCGATGGGAGGGGAAATCGGGTTTAGGGACGAGAGGGCGTTTCGTGCGAGCGCGTGGCGATGGGGTGGGCGATGAGATCGCGATGGCGACGTAACGGACAGCGACGTGGGCGTTTCAGGCCGAGCGGGAATGTGACGAAGTGGGTGATGGGAGGGGAAACGGGGTGGGCGACGAGAGAGCTTTCCGTGGCGAGCACATAGGCGACGAGGTGAGTGACTGGAGGGGAGTGAGAAAGGGCGCCGCGAGGGCGTTTCGGGACCAGCGCGAAAGTGACGAGGTTGGTGATGGTAGGGGAGAGAAGGAGGGCGACAAGAGGGTTTTCCTGGGATGGGTGATAGGTGGGGAGACGGGGGGAGTGACGAGATGGGAGGGCTATTCGAGGCGAGCGTGGTGGCGACGAGGTGGGTGATGGCAGGGGCGAGTGGAAGAGCGACGGGAGGTCGACTTGGCGAGAGCGGCACGGAAACGAGGAGGGTCATGGGAAAAGAGAGAGGAAGAACGGCGGGAGGGCTATACTAAGCGAGCGGATAAAAAATGGCGTTGGAAAAGCGGTGCGATAAGTTGCGCGAAGCCTTGCGATGCGAGTAATACGACACTTCGTCGTTTCGGGTGTAAAGATGTTAGAGATGAAGGGGGGTTGTAGGTGGGGAGAGATAACGCGGCGAGGGAAAGGAAACATGGGCGACGAGGAGGTTGACGATTGGGCTGCGGGAGGGAAAAAAAGCACTGCGCTACTAGGCCACGTATTACTAAATCACGCACTCGTGCTAAGTCGATAACAAACGTGGTCGTCGATAATTTGGTGCCTATGACACAAGCACCTAAGCTTTCCGCTATACTATGCGTGACAAAAAACTAGGAAGGTAAGGGAGTAGAAATTAGGCAGTTATGAACCCAGGACCAGCTTGATATTGAAGTTGGGCCTTGCGATGGAAACCATCGCCAGGGAACGGTCGTGCAAGTGCATGTCAGAAGTATAGGCAGGAATGAATGAACTATGACAGAGTTAGGTACAAGTATGAAACCCTAAAAGGGGCTGTACCCCATATTGGCTACCCCACTACAGCCTACACATGTATAACAAGCATATGCTTTGACACACCCCCATAGGCAAAGTGGGGGAGAGCAAGACAAGCAAAGCAAGCTCAGGGTGGATCACAACGTCACCACACACTCTGAGCACAAGCAAAGTGCCACAAGGCCAGTTCACATGCAGAGGCATATATGCAACACAAACAACACAGTGATCTCTACCTAGCAAAACAAGCATGCAGGTATATATATATAGATCACAGTACAAGCAAAGCCTACAGCAAGTGAGGAAAAGTGGGCACAAGCCCTAGCACGGTGCAGAAACGCTGATGATCACCAGACTGAAGTGCCTTGGTGAAGATATCAGCAGTGTTGGCCCGAGTGGCCACGTAACGCAGACGAAGCTGACCACGCTGCTGCAACTCTCGAGCCAGGAAGTAACGCAGAGCGATGTGCTTCGTTCTGTGCTCCAGTCTGTGCTCCTCACACAAGGCAATGGCTGCCTTGTTGTCGACGTACAGCACTGGAGGAGAACGAGGCCGCTCTCCCAAGTCGGTCAGCAGGTAGGTGAGCCAGCGTAACTCATGTGCAGCCATGGCTGTGGCGTAGATCTCAGCCTCACAACTGGAGCTGAGAACTGAAGACGAGCGTGTAGAACGCCAAGAAACAGAACCAGAGCCAAGACTGAAGGTGTAACCCTGTGACGACCGCTGCGTAGCCTGGTCGTCAACCCAAGAAGCGTCTGAGTGCCCAGTGAGGACAACGTCGCTCCGTCCTCCAAGCACGAGCCCCATGCCCGATGTACTGCACAAGTAGCGTAGTACCCTCTTAGCAGCATCCATGTGCACCTTCGGTGCCGACCAGGAGCCACGTAGCGAGCCAGAAGGCCAAGAGGGTACGCAAGGTCAGGACGAGTGCAGGTCATCAGGTACATGAGGCAGCCCACTAGCTCTGGGTAAGGACCACTCGGCTCTACGGACTCGTCCGAAGGTGGAGCTGAGAGCGAGTGACCTGTAGCCAGAGGAGTGTGCTGTGCCGAGGACCAGGTGAAGCCGAAGCGCTGAAGGACCTGCTGCACCATGTGTGACTGAGTCAGTGTGATGGTGCGGCGTGCTCTGTCCCGGGTGATCCGCAAGCCAAGATAGCTTGTCAGCTCACCCAGGTCTGTGCACGTGTGTCTCTTCTGCAGCTCCGACTTCACCAGGGCGAGAGCCTCAGTGTCAGCAGTGGCAAAGACCAAGTCGTCGACGTACACGAGGATGTAGAACGGCGGCAGCGAAGTATCGGTGCGCAGAAACAGCGACGGGTCAGCAGTCGACGGGGCAAACCCAAGAGCCGCAAGTGTCGTCCTCAGTGTGTCGTGCCACTCACGTGGCGCCTGGCGGAGACCGTAGACCGGCCGCCTGAGGCTCCACTGGGTACCAGGAGGGAACGACCCAGTGAAGCCAGGTGGGCGGCGCAGCCAGATCTCCTCGTGCAGGCTGCCCTGTAAGAAGGCTGTGCTGAAGTCAAGAGAGTGAAGCTCGTAGTCACGCTGAGCGGCAACGTGCAGCAGCACCCGAAGAGTGGTCATCTTCGGGGTGGGGGAGAAGGTCTGGAAGAATTCTACTCCCTCTCGCTGACTGAAACCTCGTGCAACGTAATGCGCCTTGAAGGCAGGCGGAGAACCTGGCGGCCGCTTCACCCTGAAAATCCACATGCCACTGACGATGTTCGCCCCAGGTGGGGGAACCTCGTCGACGTAGGTGCCTGTGGACTTCCAGGATGCCATCTCTGCGTCCATGGCTGTCTGCCACTGAGAGGAGTACTCACCCGCGATCGCCTCAGCGTAAGAGCGCGGGGTCGGGATGTCTGGAGCATCCGGGTCTCCCTCAGGGGCAAGCAGCATGGACACGAGATGAGGCGCAGCGGCTGCAAGACACTCAAGGTCCTCCTGCCTGTCCTCAAGGACGTCCGTGCCAAGAGCACACTCACCCCCGACGGACGGAGGACAGACAGACTCAGACTCAGCAACAAGACTAGCGGCGTAGTCTAGACGACAGGCAGCAGCAAAGTCAACAAGCTCAGCAACTAGGGCAGACGTAGCAGCAGACTC